CCCTCTAAGCTGTGGAGTCTTGTGAGCAAAAATTCTACTTTGTGAGCTACTGGCATTAAAGCTGTGAGCCAGCGATTTGGCTGCTGCATGACTTAGCATGCTCTGGAGCCATCCCTTCCTGAGCGAAGACAAACATGTGTGAGCCGGAGGTTAAAAAACTGTGAGCTATCTCACACTGACTTAGCTTAGAGGGAAACACTGGTTATAACACAGCTGGTATTCAGTACCAGCTCAGAAGATCACGTGGTGCCTGCTTAGCCAGACACTAATCTATCCAGGTTGGTATTGTCTACTCGGACTGGCAGCCACTGTCCCTGGGGTTTTTCAAGCCACCTACCACCTGATATTCTTAACCGGAGGAGCTGAGGATTGAACTTGGGACCTTCTGTACGCAAAGGAGATGCTCTGCCACTGAGCCACAGCCCCATCCCAGCTAAGATACTGCTCCCAGGGATGCCCTAGACCTCCGCCCCAGCACCTCTTAGAAAACTACAGCTTTACCCACTCTGAACTCACTGCAGAATTGCCATGAGATTCTTCTTTCCCTGCCAAAAGAACTCGAGTCTTTAGCAGGTTCTGTTTTTCCGCCTCCTGGCTGGCTGCCAGAGAAGAAAAATGCAAAGTGGGAACAAATGTTCACCGCTGGCATCACCATGCACGCATGCACACTAAGGTAGTACTGGAGGCAGTGGGGAAAAAATGTTGATTGTATTGCCATGTGGAAATCTGTCAATTCTAAGAAGTATTTCTGGGCACTATTTCCCACCTCCGTGCTTCCATGTGCCCCGGTCTCCCCAAGGCATCGCGCATCCTCTGTGCGACTGCATCTTAAAGCCACATGCTGAGTCACAAATCTGCTCCCCTAGAGGTCAGCACTGTTTGTACTGAAGGGCCGCCACCCTACAAAAGTCTCCGCCAGAGGGGCTCCTTGGATCGACCCGGGGCCTTCTACAAGCGAAGCAAGCGCTCTGCCACGGAAGCGGATTTTCTCCACCCCCCCCCGCGAAAAGCACTTTGCACCCACTCAGAGGCTAGCAGCACGCCCCGGCTCTTTATAATTTCTATACTGCAAAAGTTGGCAAGCCCAAGTTTGTTGCCCTTTTTTGGGGGGCCCGCGCCTCTTT